AAGGGTGTGGAAACCTCTGTCCAGTTGACCCATTTTAAAAGTCTTAAGTGGAAGCTCGTAAGGGGAAAGTAAAAAAAGAACAATATCTGCTAGCAGTGAGCTTAGCTTAGACCGTTACAATTTTGTTCTAACGTAATGTTGTGTTTGTTTGTCTCAGCTACCTCGCATTCAAGTCACTGATCCAATTGCTCGATATTATGGGTTGAAGCGTGGACAAGTTTTGAAGATCATTCGACCAAGTGAGACTGCAGGAAGGTATGTGACTTATAGATATGTTGTTTGAGATTGCCCTAACTCGAAGTTGAAATCATGGTATGGTACATGTAAATGTGTGAGCACTTTGAGCAGCCATGCTCTTTAAGTAACTTTTGTTGCTTCCTCATCTTTTTTCTTAGCTGCCAAAGCTTTTTGTTGGTTCCATTGTGATGACAACGTTAATTTGCTAGCTTAATTACTTTCATTCCAAAAGTATGAGCGAGTCTACATTGTAAATAACACTTTTCTTCCCATTGACATCTTGAAAATTAACGTTATCATCGCAAACTTAGAATCTCGACAGTCGAGGAGTCAATGCCATCGAAGAGATCTACAGAAACGGAGTGTACAAAAATGTGGATAACGATCGATTGAGGATCTCGATCCAATCAATGGAAAGTTTCTTATGACCTTTTATTAATGTTCTTTTTCACAATAGTGAAGATTGGCCCCTCGTCTCACCTGGATCATTTTGTTCATTCACATACTTCCTAGGAAAATTTTTAGGTCACCCGATACAGGGAAGAGAATGAACTTTTCATTTACTCACGGCCAAAAACATTGGATCTTGGTTTGATTTTATTAAAAACTAAATGGCGCAAATTTAATTATTAAAATTTTTGATCAATTGATATCCATTCTTCTCCGCTATAGATATAGTTGAATTTAGTGGAATAATTTGTGTTCATAGATATAATCATTACAAACAAGATGATTATTCAGAGTTGTTTATAATTATAACCGAGTCACAAATTCATTTTATCCATGTAATTCCATCTTACAATAAGAGCTCAATTCCATCACGCTCATAACTTAGTGAGAGATTGAATATTTCGTGGTTTATACAAATTTATTGTATAAGATACCTCATTTACATGTTTCTTAAGTGGGTCGCATCAATATTGTAATAAGAATAAGACACCCAACATTATCCATATATTATAACCGCCTTAAGATAATATTAAATTACAAATAATATTATTAAAAATTAAATAATTAATTATGAGATTTTAGGATACAAATCTTCTCTAAATTGATCGAAGCTAGTGACTTGTATTATAAGACATACTCGATATCTAACACGTCTCTAATTTGCTATAGATAAATCAAGACATATCTTGTAATTCTGGACATTCTAGGTGACCCTTAAACATCTTAGTTTGGATAGGTTTTATATAGAACAAAACTAGTATTATTAAAGTAATCGAGGTAGCAATCCTGGTCGGTCACTACCACGATACTTTTTTTCTCTCTCATGACTTGTATATCGAGGATTCAAAACTTGATTGAGACTACAAAGACGTGAACAAATAAAAGATTAATGTTATATAAAATAAAATATGAAAACTGGATAAAATTTAAATACAAATAGAAACAACGAACACCAAAATTAAATAAAAAATAATATTCAATTATAATAAGAAGGTGTAGTTCAAATTTTTTATGAGATACAATTACAAAACAAAGTACAAAAGCCACAAACACAAAACCGAACAACTGATAACTCTCCAAAAGTAGAGTTATGCTGAGCTATTTTATAAATAATTTTGCATTCATACTCACAATCTTTTCATTAATTGCTCAATTTATTCTAATTAGTAAGAATTGAAATAGTCTATTATGGTTCGATATGAAAGGATGATCAAGTCTAACGTAAGTTTAATTGAATTTATTAATGAGTTTATTATGTCTCCTCATATTTATTTATTTTCTTGTTCTCTATTTTTCTGTTGTCACTCCGCATATATTTTGTAGAGATATTTTACACTCATGAACGCACATTTGAATGACACTTGAAATTCACTTAATTTTCAGCCACAAAAATAACCAAAAAATAAGTTTCCTGTATAATCAATAATTTACTTATTACTTGCTACTTGTGAGGATGTATACTTGAACTTATTCTTGTGAATTTCACATTATTTTAGTATATGCCTTCATAAGCGATCTAGTTTTTGCACGGATGTTATGGAACCTAATTCAATTATTTGACTTGTGATACATTATAGTGAGTTGGAGCTAAACCATTGGGCCATTTGATGGACTAGCGTTAGAAGACTCCCCTACATCTAAAGTTATTTTTAGGAGTTAGTGGCTCATATTGATTCTAGTGAGTGGATAAAGATATGATTAGATTAAGTTTATTCCTTTATTATTTGAGTGTTGGTGCTAAATCATGGTTGAACACCTTAGCACTGGGAGCAATTGATTATTAGAATAGTCTAGTAGAGAAATGCACGGTTCAAAAATGAAATTGTTGCTTTTCAACCGTTTGAAGATGAAACACTAAGTGATGCTTGAGTGACATTCAAGAAGACGTTTAGAAAATGCCCTCACCATCGCTACCCTATTTTATCCAAATAGAAACTTTCTAGAATGGACATTGCTACTAAACATGTGGTGAATCCATCCGCCAATAGACCTATCTTGTCAAAGACATACAAGGAATGAAACTTATGAGATCTTATAAAGAATAGCATCTAACAATGGTTCGTGGCTGATGTGAGAAGTAATCCAAGAAAAAAGAATCGAGTAGTATTTGAAATTGATGCTTTGACATCCATCAACACTCAGTTAATTTCGGTGACTAATATTCTTTAGACTCTAGCATTGGGACAAGACTCATTGGCTAAAGCCAGTCCAAGTTGTTGTTGTAATTTCTGAACCCGCAGCTGAATCTTGTGTATATTGTAGAGAAGAACACGGTCTTGACCTATGTCCAAGTAATCCAATTTCTATTTTATGTGGAAAATCAAACTGGTCAAGTAAACTAGAAAAATAACCTCTTCTCAAATGCTGAAACCATCCAAACTTCTCCTACAATGGACAAACCTCATGCAATTAGTAAATACCATCTAAGATAAATTACGCTTTAGATTTTGGACAACAAAATCAAATGACTTATGGTTTTTAACAAGCCATAATCCAAGGGAAATAAACTAGTCATGCTCAACACATACCAGGGTGCAACACCCGAGCCTCAACGAGGTACTAGATACTTGATTTTTTCTATTGAGACCAAACTCCTGAGATTTTATTGACAGTCTTAAGGGTTGAATTTCAAGATTTTGTAGAAGAGAAAAATGCTCGGAAGACTCTCATAAACTTAAGAAAAACATAAATGAAAAAATGGAAAAAAATTAGAAAAATGGTCAAATTCAACAAAGAGGGGTAATTTGGTCATTCCGCCCTCCTTTGGGAGGTTAGTTAAAGGTAAGAAAAGAAAAGAAACAAAAAAGGAAAAAAAAAAAAGAAAGAAAAGAGAGGAAAAGAAAGGAAAAGAAAAGAAAGGAAAAGAAAAGAAAGTAAAGAGAGAAGGGAAGTTTTAGAGAGAGAGGAAAGTAGGTTCAATTTTGGCCACAAGAAGTCTGATTCCGAGCCTCCTCATGTTCTGGATCCAAAGTCGTTAAGAAACGAGGAAAATCCAAAGGTAAGTTATTGAATTCTTATTTTCGAATTTCTCTTAGATCTAAGAGAAAAATTAGGAGTTAGATTTTAAAATTTGAGTATGTTAATCTAGGGAGGATTGTACTCGTAATCTATGAAGGAAGTTGTAGTCGAGTAAGGGGAGTACATGAAATGTGATCAAAAACATGTTTTATTGAATACTCTACAAATAGAAATACACATGAGAAAAATACATTTGTTAATGAAAAAAAGAAAAAAAAAAAAGAGGGAGATCGAAGAGAATGATTACTCAAAGATGAACAATCCCCTTAAGTTTGGAACGGTGATAATTCTCGAAGTAGAGATATACCAGACCTTTTTTGTATATAATTTTACAACCATACTCACTATTTTCTAATTAATTGCTTTATTTCTTATAATTAGTGAGCATGCAATAGTCCATTGTGGTTCCACATGAAAAGAGGATCAACTTGATCAATGAGTATTGATCCACTATATCACCATCTCTTTCTTTCGTGTATAACATATTCTCCGTATCTATGCTTTGTAAGTATATGATCAACCAAACCCATGTGATAGGCTATGTGTCTTTGCTATTAAACGAGTCTTATTTATAAGAAAATACCCGAACAAATTTTAGCCCAAAAATAAGGACCTGCGCATTACAGTTATAACATTTGTCAAGGTATTTTGACAAAACTATCGGTTAGAAAAGGTGACATAAAAACGAGAGGATGAAATGATGGAGAAGTACCCAATTTATTTGAAGGGATGGTTGGGAGAGTCTTACCTTGGCTAGTTATAGGATGGTAATAGGTTAGTAAAGAATAATCTCTATTGTCATTAGGCCTTTTTGAAAACCTAAATAAAATGAGAGCTTAGGTTGAAAGTGGACAACAAAGTTGGTGATTCCTAATATTATTCCTAACATTCTTCTATTTGATTGTTTTTCTCAAGAAGATCAATTTGACTAATAAATTTAAAAGTAGCTTAAATTTGTAACCGTTATCCTTTCTCATACTTAAAAATTAAAAAACATTCTTCTAATAAAATCATCCCATTATAATTTATGTCCGATAATATTTGTTAAAACTAATACAGGTGGTGGAAATAAAATGACAAGGACTTTTGGGATGAAATAAATGAAAGTTCTATTTATAATCATTTGAAGAATCCAATCTAATAAATTATAAAAGAGATAAGAATAACAATAAATAGAAACAGCAATAAACAATTTTAAGATATTTGACTATAATAATAGAAAAAATATGATACCTACTCTAAAATAAATATCTAGATATTTGTATATAATAAAAAGATCAAATATAATATGTTAAACTATAATTTATGACTAGATATCTTTATCCGAGGGAGATGATGGATACTAGTTGTTAACCTTCTCAACAAATGCATGGTGGATCATGAGTCCACCCTTCCACCTCCCATTCCAAACCTCGTACATTCCGAAGTACAGACAATAGTCTCCTAGTGAACTCGGTGGAGGTTTCACAGTGATAATAAGATCCTCCTCTGGCATACTAAACTTATTTGGAACAGAACATTTGTTCTCTAGCGACATCTTTTTGTACACAAATTTCCCTGCCTTCCCAATCTTAGCCATAATGTAAACGTTACACCCTTTCCATCCAAAAGCCGCTGGTGCCATCGATACGTTGAAGCCAACTCTATAGCTTTTTCCAGCCTCGATGTTGTTGGTTGAGCATGTCACCTCGAGCCACGACACTTGCAGCAGCTCCGCAGCTGCGCTTGGGTCCTTCCTAAGAGGTTTAATATTAATATATGTCGGCCAAAGCATGCAAGTCTTAAATGAAAACGGATAGAGTCGCTTACGTGTTTCGGTATCGGCTAGGCAAGCGCCAGTATCGGTCGTCCTTGCCCCATGTGATGTCTAAGCCTTTTGGATAAATTATGGTCTTTTTGTTCTGTGAAAATGAATAAGATTAGATATTGAAGATGGTAGAAGTAAAGGTTTGGATATACCTTAATTTTTTCTATAGCCTTTTGATCTCCTTTGTGGTGAGGTGATGAATAGACAAATCCAACCATCTTTGCTAGAAATAATGGTGAGGGAAAAGGTCGTGTAATGAAGCTTTTTATAGTTAGCTTTGTGGGAAGATATATATATATATATATATATATATAACTTTTAGAACTACCCTCATAAATCTAAAATGATACTACCCTATGAAGTATTTTAAAGTTGGAATATTTAGACTATTGAAAAAAAATCATTCATGAGGTGTTAATGAATATCTGTCACCCCTGTATTTTTATTTTAAAATAAGAGTGTTTTTAAGTGTATGTCATGATTGTTATGTGAAAAAAAAAAAAAAAAATCAAGGAAAGAAAGGAGTGTATATAATATTGTGCTATACGCATACATATATTATATATTAGAGAAGTAATACATGTTTGTGTGATGTACAACATATCTGAAGTCGTACTTAAAGAATCATGGTTCAATGAGATGATACACATAAAACTTTTTTATTTACCCTCACATAAGTTTCATATGAGTTCGTATCTATATATTTATGGTCTTTCATTCATGCTTATTATACCTGGTACATCTTTAGGGCATAATGTGATTGTATTAACCTAACAAACGTGAATCAACGAATAAGAAGCATATGCATCACAAAACTTCATTCCATAAATAATAGCAAGTAAATAACTCAAAAATTACCTATTGTTAACGCATCAATCAATTCATTTAACATAGTTCATAGACATTCAAATTTTGTAACCGTCCAAGCCTACCGCTAGCAAATATTGTCCTCTTTGGGCTTTCCCTTTCGGGCTTCCCCTTAAGGCTTTAAAACGCATTTTTTAGGGATATCACAATCCACCCCCTTCAGGGCTCAGCATGCTCGGTGACACTCGTTCCTTTTTCTAATTGATGCTCCCCCCAAATCCACCCCCTTTGGAGCCCAATGTCCTTACTGGCACACCGCCTCGTGTCTACCCCTACTCGAGGAATAGCCTCCTCATTGACACATCGCTCGGTGTCTAGCTTTGATACCATTTGTAACGGCCCAATGATACCTTTGGTACTTGTAAAATTGCTTTAACCGAAAATAGCTTGACGCAAGGATGATAAAAATTACGTCAATTTGAACTTGCTCGATCTGTTCAATTGTGACCCAATTCTTGAGTTCCGGCCTAACCTAAGGACGATAGCCCTCTCAACCCACTCATAGGACTGATTCACCACTCGGATGTCCCAATTCACCCCTAACCTTCCGTAGAATTTTTGATTGGCTCGACTATAGAACCCGACATTGATAGCACTACTGCCGTCAAGAACCCAGCCTCGGGCATTGGGGACGTCGTCTTCGGAGGTTCAGGCTTGTGCCGGGGAGTCGAAAGCGTCAACCTCCATGAGAGTGGTGAGGAAGCCTAATTGGGTCATCAGATTAGGCTTGCACTTTAACTGCATTCGTGGTGACAGCAATCTCGCACGGACCACCACACTCATGTGTCCCAGGTTTTTGATTCTTTTCATATTATCCCCCATTTAATTTTTTTTTCATTATAAAAGAAATTTCAATAATTTTTCAAAGTATAAATAATAAAATTAGATTCTCACTTGTTTATTATTCTTTCTTTAGTATTGACTTTTCAATTTCTCTCCATTTTTTTATTGGGTCACCTTGCTTTTAATTTATTCTAATTTACTTTTTATTATTCAACTTTTATGGGTTTCCAATTTTGACCCTACTCTTTTTATATTCGTTTTTATTTTCTTATATTTAAAATAAAATTAAAAATATATATTTTAATTTATAGGAATAATAAAAAAAATTTAAATGCTAGCCATAAAAACTAGAAAGAAAGGCATAGTAGACCTTGATTTGATTAAAATGTTCTAAAGAGATAATAAAGCAAATAATTATATTATATCATGCTTCATAAACCCATCTTATTTTGCCATGGTAATATGAAAATAATATCACTACTTTATACCAAAGTTATCGAAAAAAAAAAAAGAGTTCGCCTTAGTGTTTTTAGGTTTTACTTTCGACGTTGGCGTGACATGCCTGTTACATACCAATATGAAAGGAATCCAATAAGATTTTACAAAAGTTACAAAAAAATAGTCTTCAACTTTTTAAGTACCTCTTTTTATTTTTATTTTTTTTGTTCATAGAAGTTGATCTTCTCTCATCACTATCCATTACATTTTAAGTTCTAAATATGAAATCACACATTAGTTGAAGAAGAAAACGAAACGTTTTTTATAAGGGTGTAGAAACCTCTTTCTAGCAGTTGTGTTTTAAAAACTTTGAAGAAAAGTCCGAAAAGAAAAGTTGATAGAAGACAAACGTTTCCAACTTTTATCTCTCTTTCTGAAAGTTCCTCATTGGCTAATTTAGGAAATAATTATGGGTTATAATCAAAGAATACTCTCTCCATGGATGTGAGACCTTTTGGGGAAGCCCAAAGCAAAACCAGAGGTTATGTTCAAAGTGATAATATCATACCATTGAAGAATTTCACAATAATCGACGACAACACCAAAGAATTAAAGCATTGATTCTTGAGAAGATAGGACGGCAATTTGCACCTAAGGAGAAAAGAAAAATGATAATAATGAAGAGTAGAAGAACAAAGAAAAAAGTTGGTGGGAATAGAACAATCTATTCGGTCGACTAATGGGAAGAGAAAATTAGGAAGGCAATTATGCATGAATGTGAGATCCCATATTTATTGAAGAGAGTAACGAAACACCCTTTATAAGGGTGTGAAAATCTCTCCTTAACATACATGTTTTAAAAACTTTGAGGAGAAGTCCGCAAGGAAAAATTCAAAGATAACAATATCTGCTAATGGTGAGCTTGTGCTGTTACGAATATTATCAGAGCTAGACATTAGATGGTGTGTCAGTGATGACGCTAAACCCTAAAGGGGAGTGGACACTGGGTGGTGTGCCAGCGAGGACGCTGAACACCGAACGAGGGTGGACACCGAACGATGTACCAATGAGAACGTTGGGTCCGAAGGGGGTGGATTGTGAGACAATTCTATATAAGGGGGTGGAAATCTGATGTGCCAGCGAGTATGTTGAGCTCTGAAGGACGTTGAGCACTAAAGGGAGTGGATACCAAGCGGTACCAACAGGACGTTGGGTCCTGAAGGAGGTGGATTGTGAGACAATTCCTTAGGTGTGAACACCTCCCTCTAACAGACACATTAGCAGACACGTTTTAAAAACATTATAGATACGCGAGGCGAGGAATAATCTCCTACGGCTGACTCGACAGCAGAAAAGACATCCACGAAGCAAAGATATGCCTTTAATGTAAGGTTCCGTAGTGTATTGGCTATCCTGTCTGGGATTAGAAGATGATTTAATCTAATGAGGTGAAATGACTGAAGGTTCCATTTTTCTTTTTAATTTGCATACATAATTATATTAAAAAAAAAAGTTAAAAAGATCTTATTCCATTTGGCTTCCTAAACAGGACAGTGAGATATACGAGAATCTCACACAGCTCCGTTTACATCCGATTCATATCAGACTCCTAATAAAGCTTAAAGGTTTGGTCTATCACATAAGCTACTTAATTTTGTGTGCTACAATATACTAACTCAACCGTTCCAACTTTTTGATGATTCTCTTAGCAAAGGAAAGTGTACATATATATGTTTGCTTCGACTGTGTAAATTTGACAATTTAATTACGGAACTACTATCACATTGAATGACAGTTGTTTGACCTTGATTTAGACCAAGTTTGTCCATCAGTCGTATTGCTTGACATGTACATGAAGCAGCAGCAACGAATTCAGCTTCAGTAGTAGACAAGCTTACAACCGGTTGTTTTTTTTATTGCAAAGAAACAACTACTAAACTTATAAAAAAAACATAACCTGAAGTGCTTTTTCAATCTTCCAAGTCTCCTGCGTAATCACTATCGGTGTAAGAGATAAGGTCACTATTTCCTCCCTTCTTGTAGAAAATTTCAAAATCAATGGTGCCTTTAAAATATCTTAACACTCTTTTTGCTGTTTATAGATGAAGCTCAGTAGGATTTTTCATATATCTGCTGGTAAGTCCTGCATATTTCTTTTGATTAAAAAACACACCACTTAATTTTTGTAGTACTCCAAGACCCAAAAAAATACCTCATTTTGTCAAGATCAGTCATATCAAACTCATGCTTCATGGACTTCTTAAATTCAGAACATTATCATTTCCAGTAAAATGAGATCATTAACGTACAAACTTACCATCAAAATTTTACCATCTTCTCCAGCCTTGACGAAAAGAGTGGGTTCATAATCACATTTCTCAAAACCTTCCTTCATGAATGAGCTTCTATACGATTGTACCAAGCACGCAGAGCTTGCTTAAGCCCATAAAATGCATTTTTTAAAACTTATAAACCATGTATTCATTTCCTTTTTGCACCTAACCATAAGGTTGAGAAAGAAACACTTCTTCATTAAGCTCACCAGGTAAAAATGAAGACTTTACATATAACTAATATATGAACCATTCTCTTTGAGCTGCAAATGCCACCACCAAACGAATTGTTTCCACTCTTGTCATGGGAGCAAATACTTATGTATAATCTACACCTTGTTGCTGAGAACATTCCTTCACCACTAACCTCGCCTTGTGCGCGTGTCTATTTCTCCGTTTTCATTAAAATTTTGTCTTATAAACCCATTTCACTCCAATAATCTTTCCATTTTCTTGTAATTCTGTCAGTTCTCAAGTATCGTTTCTATTAATTGCTTCTATTTCTACATTCATGGCTTTTATCAATATCTCACTCTTTACAGCATCTTCAAATCGAGTGGGATCACCTGCAAATGTGAGCATGACTAATTGAGTTGCATTATCTTCTTCTAACAGTTCTTCTCGTGTTTCATAGTCTTGCATCAAAATTGGTGCCTTCCTACTCCTCTTTTCTTCTAAACTAGATAAGTTTGTTTTCTCTAAAGAACTAGAGGAAATATCTCCCTCTTCTAAATTTGCATCAATATCAGGTTCATCTCTATTGTCATTAATCTCATTCGTCTCTTTGTCATGATCTTCCAACTCCAAATCACACATAACTTCTTTCTTTATGATTCTCATCCC